TTTTTTGCTTGTGCAGAAAAAAAAGGACTACTTCTTAAATTATCCCTGTCCCTTAATTATAAACAAAATTAATTATATATATATATATAAAGAATGTATAGAACAGTATTCGTACTGTCTACAAACGTCAGAATGTATACGATAGTACGGGTACAGTATGTACCGGAAATAAGAAATTTTTGTCCAATAGATAATCTAGTACTGGATTCATGAACATTTTTATAATTAAGAATTGAGTTTAGCCAATTAAATCGAAATTTTGTCGAAAGTGTCATTCGTTATTTCGAAAATAGGGAAATTTATTTGATTTTGACATTTTATTATTGAGAGTCACTCGGCCAACCTTAAATATAGTCTACAGAGATTTATTGGAAGTCGCATTCAGTTATCGGGGAGAATCCAGTTAGGATCAGTTTTTTGATATTTAATTGTATATGATATCGAGTTTAGCTTAACTTATTTTAGTGTAACATTCTATTGTGTTCACCCTGTGTTGTGATTATTTTTACATATGCATTATGAGCAATAAAATTAGATTTCCAGGATAACACCCCTAAATTTAGCATTAGCTCTAAATTTTGAGGTATAACCTAGATATATGTAGAATTTGTTAGCATTGTCCTCTTTTATAATATTTCTAAAATCAATTAATTACAATATGAAGATGGCAACTCATTTGATCATTTAAAAACTTTGAAACTGTCCTGAAACTTGCAGAAATGATCAACAATCATTAAAATTAATTTTTTTTAAAGAAACTTCCATTTTTGAAAACTTCAGAACCAATTGTTCCAAAACTACTATCCTTTTTCTTATTATTCTTTTATAACATTAATTTTTATAGAAGTGCGTAAGTAAGGTTGAAGTATTTTAATTAGTGTTGTTGTAATATTTAAATTTAACACAAACTATACAACTGCTAGCGTTCATAAGTTTAATAGCTGTTGAAGAATCCGTACCATATCCATATGGGAAACGAAGGTAGCAGAGGTGGAAATGTTAGGGTGAAATTCTTTTGTTCGGTAAATTCAATTAAACAAAAGATGTGATCTATAAAGAATAGAACTAAAATTTTGATAATTTTCATTATAATTTTAAAATTCATATATCATATGTACATGCACACACATATTACACTCATATTATATTATTACTTGAATTAAACACAAAGAATTTACAAGTGATGCCGCCAAGTGTAACCTATATAATAACACTTGTATTGTATTTGTTGACATCAAAAATATTAAACAGTGTTAACAATTTTATTTTAAAGTGTTCATATGAATTTTCGAATTAAAAAAAAATAATTCCTTTATTATAATTAATTAAGTAATTTTTTTTTTTAAATTTTAAAAATTTAACAAAACACCATAAAAAATTAAAAAAAATTTTCAAGATTTTAATAATCTTAAAATTGTGCGGTTTCTACAATCATTTAGACATTTTAATTTAATTAGAGAGCTTGTTCGGTTTTTTATACGAAAATTAAGAATTAAGAGAGAAGACATTTAATGTACTTATGTTAAAAAACAAAAACAAAAATATAATGAGGAGGAAGAAGAAGAGAGAGAAAATTTTGGAAAACACCTGACAAGTTTTTTTTTCTTTTCACCTGAATTTTATTATAAAATATTATTTTCTCTCTTCTTTCCTTCTTTTTTTTTATTTGTCATTTTTACTTATTGTATAAATTAAACATTAGAGAGCTTTTCATATCCTTATATTTTAAATTGTTAAAAAAAAAAAAAAAAATTCTCTTTGTACTCGCATAATAAGATTTTTGTTATTGGTGAATGATGAGAAGAGAAGGAGAGAAGAGAAAATTTCAGGTTAAAATTAGAGGTAAGTATTTCGCTTTTCTGTGTCTTGTGAGTGTATGAGAGTATGGGATGAGCCTATATTAAAAATTTTTTGTGTACTTTTGCATTTTTTTCTTTTTTGTATATTAAGAGACAATTAAAAATTACTCTTCTCTTTTAATTTCATTTTAATTCTTATATTTTTTCTTTTTTATTTCTTATTTTTTTCTTCATCTCATTTTCTAAAATTCTAGGAACAAAAGGACTTTAGATATTTTGATAAGTGGAATTTTCCTTTATCCCAAATTATGGGTATGGTAAGGTACATTTAAACAATATGCTTAAAGAAGAATCTTTAAATTTAATATTTAAATTATGACAAAAATGAAATATTTTTGTGTGCTCGTTTCCATTGCAAAAAAAAAAAATTCCATTGAAAAGAGAGAAATTTAAGGATGAATTTGCCTAAAGGTAACCCATTTAAAATATAATAATATTATTATGTTGAGTATATAGGTGTATTATATGAAGAATGAGTAAAACTTTATTAAGTTCATATTTTTAATGTCTAAATACGGTATATGATGAGAAAAAAGGGACTAACTACATAAATGTATAAATATGGCGAATATAAAAGATAAAAATTTTTTATTATTTTATTATGATTTTGATTTTTATTATGTGTAAGAATTTAAGTTTTCATTAATAAATTTATTGTATTTGTAATAGTGTTCTAATGAGCTGGAATGTGCAAAAACTTTAAAAAAATTTGTTGAATTCCTGCGTGAATTTTCATATAAAATTTATTGATTGAGGTCAAGAAGTTTTTGAAGGTTTTATTATAATTTAAATATTTAGTAAGTTAATATGGATTCCAACGTTCATTCATTCAAAATTTTGTCTTCCTAAAACATTCTCTCACATTCTTTAATAAATGTTAATGCCTCATTACTAAGAATAAGAGAGAAATTGTGATCCAGCGGGATTGTGATATTTTATAGCACATAATTTCAGAATTATAAAATACAGTCGGCTGTGTTGGCAAAATCTAGCCGTATTTGTATAAAAATGTACAAATATTTTAGTATAAAGGGCAATGGAGGAGTAATGAATGATTGATTTTGTAATTCATTCAATTACAAATATTATCTAACTTTAAATGCTTTAAGGTCGGTTAAAAGAATTCATTTATTCGATCAACAAAGAGTTGGCAATTACGAATAAACTGCCAATTTTTTAATTAACGAAATTTATATTAAATTAGAAATTTCAAACATAAAAAAAACTAAACTCTTGAGTTTGGAAAATTATTTTTGGGAGAAATTCTTAGACTTATACCAAATGCTACTCTTATTTTAATCTGACGATTTTATAATTTCAATATTCTTGATATAAATGGAATAATTTATATCTCGCTAATTAATCTTTCTTCTCACACATTTGAAATATAATCATTATATTTTGGGAAAAGAAAAATCTTCAAAAAAAAAAAAAATAGGAAAAGTCGAAAAAGTCGAAAAAGTCGAAAAGTTATAGAAAATAAAAAAGATTAAAAAATAAGAATTCGAACATAAATGATGATTATACACTCAGACACATACATACAAATTGTATGTATATATGTATGAATGAGTATTAGAAAAATTTCTTTTTGAAAACTTTTAATTAGAAAAGATAATCGTCAAAAGATTTAGGTGAAAATTTCGAATGATAGATTAAATCTTTAATTTTTGTTTTTTGTCATCCTTTTTATATTCTATGTGAGTTTGTATATAATGTGATCTTTAGACATTTGATTTTAATTTCCAAGATTTTTATTTTTCGGAAATTAAAGATAATTTTTTTGCTTTAGTATTGAAATATTGAACAAATAAATATTGCGATGTTCAATAAAAATTGTTTAAATTGGGAGTGATTAATAAAATATTTAGTATAATCGAAATAGTTGGAAGGCATAAGTCTAGACATCAAACATGTTGTTCATGTATTTTGTTTGATGAAAAGTGAATGATGTTCAAATTTTTATTATCAAGCAAAATTAACAGACGATTACTCATCAAACATTATTTTAAATTTGATATGAAATTAAAAACAACTAAGACTTTGTTTTTAATTTCTTGTTAAGTCTTTGTTTGAATCTGGAAAACTTGTTTGAAACCTATATGCAATTATAATTCAGATAATTAAAATTTTAAAATAAATAAAAATTTGTACAACGAAACAAATGGTAGTCTGAAAATTTGTATTAAGTTCTTTTTGATACCTCACCTAACGTAGGACTGGCTGGTCTTTGAAAATTTCTTTAAATATGAAAACGGTACAGTTTTATAGAAACTTTTATACGAAATACCATGTGAATATATTTGAAAACATCTTCTTATTCCCTTTCCAGACCACCTTTTTAAACTTGGAAATTTGCAGAATGCGTTCTAAAAAAAAAAAACCAAAAATCTTTTCGCGGTTACTTTGTTTCAACTATATTTAGAGATTACATCGATTATCGATATAAGAAGATTTTAATCGGATATTTTGGAACCGAGAAGTTCAAATACATCAGAATGTTTTAGTGCCGCAATGAATATTCATCTCTGTTTATTCCAAATCTATACCTGATTTTGAACAGTCTGTATTTCTTTATTTGGTCATTCGTAATCGGAGGGGCAAAAAAATGTGAAATTGAGAAACATTAAGTATAATTATTTCGGTAAAGAGTAAGTAATTTACTTAATGAATGTTTTCCCTACAAAATAATTTAAAAAAAAATTTCAAATAAGAAGTTTTATGTTTCTCTATTTCATGAGTTGGGGAATCTTTTAACCTATGGAGGCGTAATTTAATAATAGTAGCTAAGAAGGCTACATAAGTCTCAATACCCATAAATTTTGCTTTTGTGCAGTTGTTGATGTTGCAAATTCCATTGGTTTTATTTTAAATTCAGTGTTCATTTATTCCGAATTAATTTTTTTTTTATTTTGAAGTCAACAATAAATAAATGTAATTCTAGTTACACTATATTTAACGAGATATTTGCATTTGCTTTTTATTTGAAAGTAATTAAATATTTAAAATGGCATACAAATACAAACGGCGGGACATAAAACAGGCATACAGGGACAGGTGATTCCGTACCTCAGCTCTATTTCTGAGGATGTGATATGTAATTATTTTATATAGCTGCAATAAATTTTATTGTAAACTTACCGTGACCGCTTTTTTTTCCATTAGCCTTGCTTTTTGATTTTCTTGGATATAAATGTATTTTGCTTTGTCCACAGCCCATATTTTAAATATTTTATTTTTGTTTTTTTTTTTCTATTTGTAATTCTTTTATTAATTTATTTATTTTAATTTAATTTTTTTTTTATTTTGATTTTATTTTAAAATTTATAATATATAGATGACACCAAAAAAATTATGAGAAATTTTTTTTTTTCTAAATTATTATTACAATTTTTTTTACTATATAATGTTATTTATTGTATAATAATTAAATTAGTATAATTAATCTATAATTAATATTTTATTATTATTATTATTATTGTATAATAAATTATAAAATTTTTATATATAAAAAAGAGCAAAATTATAAAAAAATTATAAATTTGTGAAATATTTTTTATACTATATAATGTATATCTATTAATTAACTGTTATACGATTTTTTGCTACCCTTTTTATGTGTTTTACGTAAATATAATGCGAGAGTATAATGTGATTTGAACCCTTCTATTATAGGGAACAATTTATTGAACAATTTATTTTTTCACTTTATCTTTTGGGTTTTTTGCTTTTGAATTTTAAATAATAATTTATAGCTTATTTTTATTTGTAATTATTTTTTAAAATATTTTTGAAAATTTTTCTTTTTAAATTTTGATTTCATTATTATTAAATTTAAATTTTTATTTTTCAAAATTAAATTCATATTTGAGAATGAAATTTTTCTTTTTTCTTAAATGTTTTCTTAGTATTTTAAAAAATTTGATTATAATTTGAGGGTGTAAGTTGAATTCTCGGACTATATTTTGCTATTATTATTTTAATATATGAATTTTAATTATTTAATAATTAATTATTTATAATTTATTTGAAAAATAAAGAAGAACAAATTTGGCACATTTTATTCAAAAAAAAAAAAAATGAAAAATTAAATAAAAGGAAAATTTCACTTCAATTTTAATTTTTTTTAAGATAAAACCTTTGCAATTTTTTAATTTTTTGCTTGTATTTTTAAAAAATTTCACTGTTTTTTTTCTGCCTTCTAAATTTCTAAATTAGAATTTTTTTCTATTTAAACTTTTAATTCATAATTTCACATTTTCTTCTTTTTTTGTTGGTTAAAAATATATAAACAAAAATAAAAAATAAAAATAGAACAAAAAATAACAATTTTTCACACAAATACGTAGAAAATTATAAAATTTTAATGAAAAAAAAAAATATCCTTGTTTATTTTAATATTTTCATTTCCTTTACTAGGACGATGAGGTTATTTTTTTTATTTTTTTTTTATAAGACAATTTTTTTTTTTTGTTATTATTGCTGATCTCAGTTAAAATGGAGATGACATTTTATTTTTTAGAGAAAAAAAAAATTATAATTAAGAGAGACAAAATAAAAAATTAATTTTTTTATTCTGTTTATGTTTTTTGTTGTTGTTGTTGTTGTTTTTTTTTCTCTTCAAAATGTCATCCAATCATTTGAGAACGGTGACCTGAAAACACAAAATAAATTAAAAATTAATTACTATTCTGTTTATTGTTGTATGTATGTATATATTAAAATCTCCAAGAGAGAAAAAAAAAAATAATTAAAAACAGAAAAAAAAATTATTATAAATAAAAAATGATTGCATAAAATTAGGCGAATTTTTGTTTTTTATTTGTTTTCGTTTTCAACTTTAAAATTATGTTGAATGATTAAGCAATTTTTTTTTTTTTTTTGGGTAGAAATTTGTAAATTGCGTGCATAAATTTTTTTTTTATTGTATTATACAAAGAGAATAAAAATGAATCTATAGAGAATTTTCTGTAGAGAATAATGAAAGCAACAAGGAGAGAAATTACCATATCCAGAGATTATGGTATAATAATCGTGTATATTGTTGACACATTTTTGTCTCTAGACAATCTTGTGTTGTTTCATGACACATTTAGTCTATATTGTGCGATCTATTTGTTTTCATTGTGACACTTTCACCAAACAACTTAGACAACATGTTATTCTCTAAGGACCTGTCAGTATCTTATGCGTGAAAGATATTAAGAAATTCCAAATGTTTGTTTAAATATTATATAGAAAATTTATCAAATAACTCATACTCAATTTATTGTGAATTGAAATTTTATATTGTGAATTGAAAAATGGAATCTTTTGATTTTGAAATATGATTTGGTATGATATTTTTCTTTTGATTTTTACAATAAAATTTTATAGAAATATATGGAAATGAATTGAAGAAGAAAAGAAAGGTTAGTACGAGTAAGAACTAAAAATTAATGAAAAACTGTTATATACGTATTTGATTTCGATTAATACCAAATACTCGTATATGGGTAAGCTAGTATAAAAATAATGAAGCACATAACGGACTACAATTATTTAAATCTGTAATTAAAACTTTAACAAAACATTCTGTTTGGATGAAATTATTGCCTACTCTTCACTGTTCTGTTGTAAATAAAAATTAGAAATATTAACGTGACGTTTAATTTAATACATAAAGAGGCGATTATGTGTTCTCCATCTGAAAATACGAAACAACCGCATACAATCGCTTCGTTATTAAAATTTCTTTAAATCTAATATTGCCTTAACGAAATTTAAAAGCAACTATTTGATCCCTTTGAATTTTCCTAACGTATTCGTATTTTTACTTGTATATTAACAAAATTTCTAACAATTTATATAAACATATACATGTATTGTTCAATTATTTTAAGATTTAATTAATAAACTTGTTGAAATTTTATTAAAACTTTATATTATATAATATACAGAAAATACAATTTTAGATCTAAAATTAGTCACTCAATATTTAACATTTAATTAAAATTTTATTATTTTTTATACATATAATAGTTTACATTTATTGTAATACATATATTTAAATACATACAATTTGTGTGTATTGTTAACGAAAAACTTTGGACCCTTTTGAAAATTATTTTAATAGAAAATTTTACCGAATTTTCTATATTATTATAAAGATTTTCCTACAGCAATATTATATTTTATATTTTTATTAGAAAAATTTTTACTGTTGACATAGGTAACTAACTTTATTTCATTATATTATTCATATACGTATATGGTGGTAAAAAATTAATTATACGGGAAAATATATGTTTTGTGTTATGTGTAAGCATATAAAGAATTTCTCTTGTATAGTGGAAAATGTTGCTATTGTATGTTGCTATTGTATCATAATATTAAAATGTTTTAAAATTAAAATTTAGTAAGTATAGTACGTAATAATATGTTATTATAAAGTAATATAAAATTTTTGATTTTAAAAAATTTTATACTTTTAAATGAATTGGGGCTACGCTCTATACATTTCCAGTTCTCACTTGTTGAGCGTTCTATGAGTTTTCAAGAAATGCGTCTCTGGCTTCCTTTCAAGGCAGTGTACAATAAACATCGTACATTGCATATTTTAATCACTTTCTTGTAACTTTGTCATGTTGAATACAAGTTTAGTAATGGAATTAAAGCCTGGAAATTGATCTTTAGCTTTTTGTTTTGCAATGTTTATATATGTATATAGATACACGGTATCAAGTTAATTTTACTGTAAAAAGAAAACAAAAATTTTTTTAAATCACGTAATGAAAAAAATTGAAAGAAATTAAATTTTCAATAACGCCTCGGTTTTTCGGCGCCCATTAAAAATTCTTACTTCGCATATATTGTAGATCCGGCACTGACTTTACAAATGTATACATGAAATATTTGTTCATGTATAAAGTAGGTTTAGTATATTTCAACAAAATATTATTAATTTCATTCCAAAAATATTATTAGATTTTTCTGAGAATGCAAGGATGTGAATTTTATAGGTTAAACGACACATATATATTGAACAAAAGTGTATTTAATTGAATTGTTAAATAAATCATTTGAAATATTTTTTAATATCGTCAATTTATTATTTACAATTCAGATTAAATTAAATGAAAGCCACATAATTAAGAAGAAAGTTCTTACATTGCAGTATACATAAAACTTTCCCGTGCGAATTGATTTACACTTAATATGAATTAAATGTTTATGATGGCACACAAGATACATACAAATCATCATCGGTATAGATTTTAAATTGCATAGATGGGCTAAGAGTGCACCGCAGCCAACGTAAATAATCTATTGTGGCCCACTTGGTGTAGAACACGTCTCTAAAACATTCACTCGAGGCCCATTTCCCTTATGAAATCGAGTAACTTGAAAAACTCGGTAGACGGCAGCCCCGTCAGTCCTAAGCCAATCCTCCTAAGCTAAGCATCATTGGTATATAATGAGCAGAAAAACGATCTTCAATAATAACATTATTCATAACATAACATTTAAAGGTTTATGTTTCTCATCTCTTCAGTCATATATAGTCAAAAACTCAATTTATATACTTATATACGAATTTCGGTTATTACTGTACCAATTCTTAGATTCTATTTGATTTAAATAAGTTTTCAATAAGTTTCAAATATTCAATTAATTTTATGCATCAATCACTACACTTTACAGCCATTAAACATAATGGAGCCACTTCAGTTTAAGAACTACTTCACTCATTGTGCTCTATTAAATCAAAAAAAAAAACAAGAATTGAATTTAGGCCCATTAAACTTCATCATACACAAAAGCCTATAATCACATATTATTCAATTGCTTCTTTAAAAAAAATTCTTCAAGGTAAGGCAAGGCTAAAAGAAGTTCAAAAATGTATTCACGTGCAAGGCTAGAGAAAAAAGAAAAAAAAAATGTATTTTAGAAATGACATTTAATTCAATAAATTTTCGACATAGACAGATTTGAAATTTCGAATTTTTGACACATAGAATTAGGCTTTTTTTTTGTAATAATTTTAAAAATTAAATGAGGCCATTCTTTAATGTCAAACCTTTTTTTCTTAAAAACTGTTTCAATTCTAAATTTAATATCCTTTTTTTTTTTAAAAAAAAAAAAAAATAGTTATTTTAACAATGTTTTTTTTTTTTTATTTTTACTTGATATTCAATGAAATGAAGAGAAAAATAAAATTTTAAATTTTAATTTTTTGTCATTTTTGTTTTTGCCCTTTTATTTAATTTTTTTTTTAACCCTTATATGTTAAGTTGAAAAGAAATTGGGTAGTAAATTTTTTTACTACCCAATAATTTTTGTATTAGACATGGTTCAGTAAATTTTCGGACTATATAGAAAATTACATATTTTTGATATATATGAATGACATATGTATATATACGAAAAAATATCAAATATAATAAAGTTATGGGTAAATAATAAAATTTTAAGGATCATAAAAATAAAAAATTGTGTGTATATGTGTAGTGTATGTGGAGTGTATACATAAATTTTTAACTATAAAGTAAAAATGAAAATATTTTTTGAATGATTTGGGTTGCAAAATAACTGGTTGATTTATAAAAATAAATATTTTATATAAATAAAATGAAAATGTTTAGAGGAAAAGAAACAAAACTGGAGATATAATTCTTAAATGTTTGCAAAAGGACAACTATGTTGATATATGCGCATACATACATATATAGTGAGGCAATAAAAATTATTTTGAATTGTATAGTTGCCACTATGTACAAATAGAAGGAATTATATAAATTTATTGCTTATAAAATGCAGCACTTGAAATTTTATTTTTGCTCATTGTACAATTTTTCATATCATGCGGAAAATATAAGAAGTATGAATTATTTTGTAATAAAATCAATTTAATGTCTTAATTCCTGTATGTGAAATAGGGTAATCAGCTAACGAAACTATAACTGAAATATTTTGGTTTAATATCGTAAAAATGGTTTGTGTATCGGGATTAAATATTAATTTGAAAGATTTAAATGAGCAATTTTAAAATTATAAGTTAAAATTTAAATAATTTCTATTGCTTTGTCCTTTTGAGAGCTAAAAATGTCTGCCAGTAAAGTAGACTTGGCAGTTTGCTTTAGGGATAATCGAGAATTTCGGTGGGAGGTTATTGAACAGCGTCGTTATATGAAACTGTTTTTTTTCCTTTTTGCTCAAGAAAGTTCTCTTACGAGCTCCTATGTGAAATAGGATCTCCTATGTGCTAGTGATGTATCGAAATCGGGTTCATTTTATTCATGGATTTTTCATTGGGCAATGTTCAATGAAATATCATTTGCACAAACCCTTTTTCTGCCAGTACGATGAGGACGTACATATTCTGTGTAACTGTTTTGCTCTGTTCGTCATAAATACAAATAGTTTGGGCTTTCTAAAAGGGTGGGCAGTTTAATTTCAAATACCTGAGAGATATCTCAGAGTATTTACTTGTGACCGGAATAGTATAAGGATATGGCATTACTAAAATAAACCATGGTTAGTTTTGATGGTTGGAATGGAGGATTTATTATGTCTATGTCTCTCTTCACCAATCTACAACCTACAAATATACAAATTTAGTTGTTTTAGTGACTTCCATATTGAAAGAACTAGATTAAATAAGGCAAGGTATCG